GACACCCTGTCAACTAACTTTTGGAGTGTGAGTGAAAAAAGCAAACGTTTATAATGTGAGTGATAGTTATTTTCGAAAGATATTTTAGACTAATGTTTGGCCAAACTTCAGAGGGTGTCAGTGAAATTATCCCTTTTATTTATTAGACCCACTTTGCCCTTAGACCTATTTCTTAAAGAGGGGGGTAGCCCAACTACTCGTAGGGGTGTAAGTTCAGTGGGTTAGCCCAGCCCAACCCGAGCATAACTCAAAATTTTTTGGGTTGGGCTTGCATTTTTAGAAGCTTGGGTTGGGATTGGGTTGAAAATTCTCAACCTGGGCCCAATTTCGATTGGGGAACGGATCCTCTCCAAGAAAAATTCTCTCCTAGCACCTACCGGTATTAATCGTACGACTACTAAGGCGCCACGTCAACTACTTCTTTAACTCACTAAATATATTAAAAGTTACTGTATTTACTTAAAATATCTAACTATGTTAAATTACAGGTTTACCCATATTAAAAAAAACTTTTTTCTCTTTCTCGTCTCTTCCTTCTCTCTCCTATATATATATATATATATATATATACATGGCTAGAACAGACCTACTTTGCTCCTTTGCTTGATCCGCCATTGACAACTCTCTCTCTCAAACCTTCAATCAACAAAACTGTTCAAGCTTGAAACCTTTGAATCAATTAATAATTCCAATGCTTGGTGATGACAATCAACAAAACTGTTCAAACTCTTAAATATATTTTATTGGAGAACTATAATTGAATTTCCTAAATTGGATATAAATACAAGTTGAAGGATCATAATCAATTTTAATTGGAATTGACAAAAATAAAAAAATAAAAAAGCGATTCAACAGTAAAGATGAGAGTTGAATCGTATATAATCTGTAGATATATATATATGTCTAGCTATGTGTGTGTGTGTGTATATATATATATGTCATATATAGAAGAGAGAAGGAAGAGAGGAAAAAGTGAAAAAAATGTTTTTTAATATGGGTAAATTTGTAATTTAACATAGTTAGATGTTTTAAAAAAGTGCCGCAACTTTTAATATATTGAGTGAGTCAAATAAGTTATTGACGTGGTCTTAGTAGTTGTAGGATTAATACCTGTAAATGCTTAGAGAGAATTTTTCTTGGGAAGGATTCGTTCCCTTCCGATTGGCCTCGGGTTAGAATTGTTCTAACCCAATCCCAACCCATTCAACCCGATTTAGAGTCCTCTGTGTTTTTTTTTTTTTTCACCACCACGTGCCGCTACCTACCTCCTCCTCTGCCGCCGCTGTCTTCCTCGTCCACTTCTGCCTCCCTACCATTGTTTCTCTTCAATTTCGGTTGTTTGGCTATGATGGTGTGGTTGGGAGTGGGTGGTGGAAAAAAAAATGACGTACATAAAAGGGTGTTGTTGATTGTGATTTTTTTTTTTTTTAAACAGATTTTAAAATTGATTGATGGTGAAGAGTATTGAATGATGCAGATAGGTGGTTGTTGTTGTTTGGCTTTGATTGTGCGTTTGGTGGTGTTGGTGAAAAAAAAATTAATTAATTTGGTCAACTATTTTTGAAATTCAAATTGAAGATTTCAAATATTTTTATTCTTCTTATTTGGGAAGAAGAAAGAGGGGTTGAATGTTTATAGTGTTGGGTTTGTGGCTCAAAATTTGTCCACAGAAAATTAGTTTCCTTTTTCGTTTTGGAAGTTGCGAGAAACAATTTCCTGATTGGTTTTGGAATCCAGAAGACTTGGGGAAAAAGGCTGAAGATTTGGGAAAGAAGTTATACCTGCTATTTTAGAGTTGAAGATGGATATGATAACTCCTTGTAGGTAAGTTGATTCTTGTCTAACAAAGGAATTGGATTTGAGGAATACTTGCCCAATAAGGAATTGGGTTTTGAAGACTCTATAAATAGAGATGGGTATGAGGGGTTTAGAGAGTGAGATAGAAGAGAGAAAAGATGTAAGGGGTTTAAGGGTGAGTGTTGTGAGGAGAGGGGAGAGTATATGTAATTCCCGAGTGTATACATTTAGCCTCATAAGAGATGATGAGTAAGTGAGTAGGGGTTTTGACATATGGTTGTATATTCTCTTCCTTGATTCATAATAGTGAAATCTCTCTCTCCCATGGACGTAACCCTAGAGTTGGGTGAACTATGTAAAATATTGTGTTGTGCGTGGATGTGTATGATTGTTATCTCTATATATGCTTATGTTAATATGATGTGATGTTACTTCCGCTGTGTGTGATGAAGGAGGGATTTAACTCTCAACAACAGCCGACCGTTGAGTGGGTTGGAGGGAGTTAATTATCCCTAACAACTGGTATCAGAGCAGATGGTGGGTCAAAGCCTGTGATTGGTCTTGAAGATCAGTGTAGAAAATTAGTGTGAAGTTTTTCAGAGCAGAGGATGATCGCGAGGTGCTATAAAGATTCAATCAAAGTTAATGATGCAATGAAGGTATGAAGAAGGTGGTGGCGTGAAACCTATGAGGAACAAGTCTTGTGACAAGCCAGATGATATTCGTTTTTCAAGATGGGGCAAAGGTGATAGAGGTGAAGCCCACGAGGAAGAAGTTTTGAGGACAAGTCAAGAGTGGGTGCTAGTTCTTAAGATGGGCCAATGGGTGTGAAGAATGAAGGGGTTTGCTCTAAGCCCGATAAAGAACAAAGGGGAATATAATGAGTAAAGATAAGAGGTTTGTTGCTTTAATCCAGAAAAGCAATTGATGAAGATGAGTTTGAAGATTGGTAGGTTACTATGCGTGAGCAATTGAACACCAATGAGATGGATAGAGAGATAGAAAACAAATTAAGAATGATGAATTTGAGAAAAGGTGGAGATTGTTAGAGTATTTCTCAAGTTCATCATAGTGCTTTATTTGAGGTGGAGAAATCTTCAGTTGAGGTGGAGTTATGAAGAGATCCTTATTTAAGGTGAAGCTATGGAGAAGCACGTGAAGATTGAATTTTAAGCCAAGGTGGAGATTGTTGGGTTTGTGGCTCAAATTTTGTGCGCAGAAAATTAGTTTCCTTTTTCGTTTTGGAAGCTGCGAGAAACAGTTTCCTGATTGGTTTTGGAATCCAGAAGACTTGGGAAAAAAGGCTAAAGATTTGGGAAAGAAGTTATACCTGCTATTTTAGAGTTGAAGATGGATATGGTAACTCCTTGTAGGTAAGTTGATTCTTGTCCAACAAGGAATTGGATTTGAGGAATACTATCCAACAAGGAATTGGGTTTTGAAGACTCTATAAATAGAGATGGGTATGAGGGGTTTAGAGGGTGAGAGAGAAGAGAGAAAAGATGTAAGGGGTTTAAGGGTGAGTGTTGTGAGGAGAGGGGAGAGTATATGTAATTTCCGAGTATATACATGTTGCCTCATAAGAGATGGTAAGTGAGTGAGTGGGGTTTTGACATGTTGTTGTATATTCTCTTCCTTGATTCATAATAGTGAAATATCTCTCTCCCATGGACGTAACCCTAGAGTTGGGTGAACCATGTAAAATATTGTGTTGTGCATTGATGTGTATGATTGTTATCTCTATATATGTTTGTGTTAATGTGATGTGATGATGCTTTCGCTGTGTGTGATGAATGAGGGATTTAACTCTCAATAACATCCGACCGTTGAGTGGGTTGGAAGGAGTTAATTATCCCCAACATAGAGGATTTGATGAGATATTTTAGATGCAAGAATGGACGGTTAAGATTAAGCTACATATATTTTTAAAAAGGATCAATTATGGTGAATATGTGTAATACAGGTAAGAGAGAGATAAAGCTGCCTAATCCAAAAAATATTTAGATTCGGGTTCATGGGCAAAGCCTATTTTGAACCTTTTCTTTAATTTTTTTTATTTTTTTATTTTTTTTATTGTACTTATGTTATCTTATTATGTTTTGTGTACCATGGATTAGCCCTTTGAACTTTGTGTGCCGTGGTTGGAGTCCAAATGACTGAACCACGTATATCCTTGTATTGTTTCATTCTTAGTTTCTTCTTTCAATCTTTAATTTTTATCAACGCTACCACCCTTCTTTATTTTATCAACCCTTTCTAGCTCTCTACACACTCTTACTTACTTGTTTCTTTTGAAGTTTTGCATAAAACTTTAGTTCATTTAATCCATATTTTTGGCTCTGTTGCTTTATATGGAGTTTGCTTGCTCACAATATATTTATGTAATTATATATAACTTAGATTTGTCGAATCACTTTATGAAGAGTTAAACTAATTTGATATTTATATATGTAACTCAGTTTTTTCAAATCAGTTTAGTTGAACGACAATTTTGGTTGGCTAGTCAGATTTTTTGGCCAAAGTGGAGATTTGGCAACATTGGTGGCTCAAAAATCAGCTCATTTCTGTGGGTTAGCAACTGCTATTTACAAGCTTCAGCCTACACCTCTCTCTCCTGCACCTTATTGTGCAAATTTTGGCAGCCACATTTCAAATATCAAAGTGTGGCTGAGAAGCCACAAACTTGGACATGGTACTTTTATATCAAATGTTATTGATGGAGTGGGTTTCTTTATAAATAGAGAAGAGCAGAAGAAGTTCTGGCGCATTCGGGGAGTGATGTTGCAAACAATTGTTAATTTACTTCTCTAGGTAACACTATTTCACCAAGTCTCAACATTCTGAGTTTTGTAAGTGGCACAATCCCTTTGCATCTGTATAGGACTTCAAATTCATATGACCAATTCTAACTAAAGACCACCTTCATTATTTGTTCAAGTAGTTGAACATTCAAATGCTCAGAAAACATTTGTTTATGGCCCTTCTTCGGTTTCAACGTTTCACCTTCTCAAAACAGTGCGAGTGGGTGGATGAAGACTCTGTGTTCGCTTGCTGGTTCTCGAGTCCAGATCTATGCTTACTCTAGCAGGCATTATTCGACGTCATGAAGACCCAGAGTGTCAACAAATAATAGCCAATATGTGCTACTAAAAACACAGATATGCAACTGCAGTTCAATGCCATGACTGGTCAAGACGTGCAAGTAATAGTAATAATAAGCTTTATGCCACATAAAAAGAAAGTTTTCGGTCCCAAGCTTTGAAATAGAAACTAGAACAGGTAATTACAAAACATAAATTTGCAGATAGGCCAACATAATCCTGTCCTTTTCATTTAGAGTCGGATATGAACATTTGCTCAACTCAACAATTCAACAAAACCTTTTCCAAACTACTTAGGCCAAGACAAACATTTGCTAAACACCAAAATTTAGGTTGGTAAAAGAAACAAAATGAAACAAAACCATCTACTGAAGCTTCTTTATCCCAGGAAACGAAGGAAGGATTGCAATAAGAGCGTCACCATAGCCAACAGGATCTGTTGAGTGAAATAGATCAAATGAGGACATGTTACATGAGAAATAGAAAAGTCATGAAAGATAGCAAATCATACCACCATCCTTTCGTAGTATCTTGATAACCTCTCCAGATATGTCAGACTGCAAAATGATGGTTGAAAAAATTCAGCACTTACTATCATAACTATTTGGGAATGAATGTGCTTTACAAATAAGATGAAAACCAATATGCAAAGAGAATAGCTGAATAATAAAATTCATTTTATTCTTATTTAACATGAAACACATTCAGAAAAATGTGCATATACACAGGCAGATGAAGTCAGGACTCAAACCTCAACTGGGATTTCTCCACCAAGCTGTTCGATGTAACAAAGCACTTGCCCCTCCTTCACTATTTGTTTCTGTTAGGGAATACCAGATAGTATCAAAGAGGTGATAGATTTCTCATGTTAAAACAAGATGGTGTTACAATATTGCCCACATTAACTTCATGTTTAGAAGCATGTAGATGAACTAATGGGACTTTGATTTCAAATGAACCGAGCAGACTGTGGGTTGATGGTAATAGCATAATCCAAATCGTGATGGTAAACAGCATAATCCAACTTAATCCCAGCCAAATTTACAAAAAGAGCAACATGCAAAAGTTAGCTGCCAGGAAAATATATTATTAACACTTTTAGCTTGTGGGTAGGCTTTGAACCCGAGAACACCAAAGCATTCGACTCCATTATTTATAAATTAAATAAAACAGAATAAAGGACTACCGGTCCTAGATTAAAAGTAAGGTTTTAAAACTCGGCCCAACTCAACCAAGGCAGTCAAGTCATCTAAGAGTTGGCCAATGTTGAGACGGAGACAGGCCGATATCTCGACCAAAATAAAAATCATGGTTGTCTTAGCATGGCGCCATGACTCGGTTGAAACTTTGTGGTCTCAGCTTGACTCAACCAAGTAGCACATGATTTTTGGCCTTGGGTCTAAAACCCCCATTTTCAGTTTCCCTTAATTCTTTCCCCCAACTCTCAATACCAAAATAAAGAAAGCCAAACCACCACCCTACCAAACTTCGGATCTATGAATCACACACACACACAAAAAAAAAAAAAATAAATAAAAAAAAGGAGAAAAAAAAAAAAAACGAGTTTTTCCCCATAAATTTATGTTTCAAGGATTCACAACTCTAGATTAATAATGGCATGTTTTAGTAAACTACTAACATATGTGCATAATTTAAACATACTTCATAGTATGCATATATTAGTGTATATATATATATATATATATTTGTTTTGCACAAGAAATGTAAATAAGAAAGTGATAAAAAAAAAAAAAAAGAAATCAGAACATTAATAAAATTCATTAAAAATATTGAAAGATCATTAAAAAAAAAAAAACCAAGAGTACAAACATATTCGGAAACTGGAAATTGTTTTGGATTAAAAAGTAAATTAAATTTTGAGTTCAGAATAGAACCCACTAAAATTTACAAGTTCAGAAAATTAGAAAAAAAAATTAATAATAAATCAGAAAAAAATAAATTCTTGGTACTGTAAATATATTACTGTACAGCCTACTACAGGTATATTCATTTCCATCTTCCAAGTTACTAGCGTATATGACTTTTTTTTTTCTTTTCAATTTGTCGTGTTGATTTTTGTTTCGATATGCATTTGTAACTGTAAATTTATAATTTAGTACAAGAACAAATCAGCACACCTACTGTTGAAAGCTCCTTAAAATTTAATTTACATGTCATTACTCGTATCACCTTTGAATATGTTATTAAAATTCATAAAATACATGGTTTATTATTTTCAGGAGTTAAGAAGTTGAATATCAGTTCGTTTTGAACAAATTTTATCATTGACACCAAGCAGCTGATATCATCATTACATAATCCATGTTACACCCCCACAATCACATTAGCAACTGCGACCTAAAACCTTGATTAAAACTGCAAAAAAGTAGGAATCCGTAGAGTAAAGTTAATGTTAAAAAAGGGAAACTGGTACAGGAACAACTGAAAATAGAATTGACGGTTTCTAACTTTCTGATTGAAAATAAACAAAAGACCATAAAGAAGTCATATAGGAAATTATGAATCAAGGACTTCCTGGATCATATAAAACGATCTGTAATGCATTTTATTCTGGAGAAGATTTCTTTTATACCTTTAAAATTGGAAGAAATATGTTGATGATTAACATGCTTCTCAAAGAAAAAGGAGAAATCATGTTGAGATGAGCTTCTCTCAGTCCTTCATGGAGGTGACGAGACTATCCTGCCTCTCTAAGGAGTGGAGGTTAGGGTTTCAACATCGAGCAGAGGACACTCTTCTGAGGTGGATGAGAGAGGAGTTTGGAAATGACAAGAAGATCTTAATGATCAGTTTGACAGGGACGTGGGTAGCAAAGAACAAATCAAAACATGGGCAACCAAAGCATAAAGGATTACTTGTGGGGTTTGGGTGTCACCACTGCCGGACTAACTCTAAACTACCTTCTCATTCAAAAGCAATTGGGGTGTCGATGGAGGGAAAAAGAAAGTGGGAGAAGCAAATTTACTCTTGAATATGTGATCCTTCAAAGTGGGTTGTTCTGGTGTGATGAGGAAGAAGAAGGAGAGAAGGCTGCGTTGCATCTATGATTCCACACACTGGGTGTGGTTGTCGATGATGTATGTGGAGGTTTTCTGGGCATGGAGATCAACAATAGGGTGGATGAGGAGAAAATAATCATTATGGTGAAGGAGGGTGAGTCAATTCTGGCTGTCGAGATGATCAATTCTGTTGTAAAGATGCAATGATGGAAGAAAAAATTCTCAAGCTAGTTCAATGATGGCTAGCCTTATCAGAAGGGATGAAAGGGATTTGGTGCTGAAGGATGACCAGTGAAAGATGAGGAAAAAAGATAGCAGCAAAGAAACGAGTGTAAAACGAGTTGCAGAATAGGCGGGTGGTGGTAGGTAGAAGACGAAGTGAACTTCACATGTTTGGGGTGAGCTTATCTGATGGAGGATAAGGATGGACACGTGAGGAAGGGAGAGACTTATCCAAAGCAATGTCATCCAGCTGGAGATAAATTTGAATTTGGAGGTGTGGGTGTATGTGTGTGGTGGTGGCGGTGGCGGGGGTGAGGGCGCACACGAGCAGGAAACGGGTGTGAGAAGAAAAAACCACCCTAAGGGAGGTGGGCTGATTTGCATAGGCCAAGTAGTGACTGGCTACATTAGTTAAAAGATAATGGGCTTGCTTAAATAGGTCAAATGGAGTTAGGTTGAATGGTATTGGAGAAGGGATTGAGCCTGACAGCTGTGGGACAGTTCGAGCATGCCAAGAAGGGAGAGTTTAACCGAGTTAACTCAGCTACTGAAGAAGCGACCTTGGGCTAAATCGGGTTGGCCAAACAGTTTTGGGCTGGGTAAATCTACTAAAAATCTGAAATCCTCAAAAATGTCTTAGGATGAGAAGGGCAACAGGAGCCTATGAAACAACCTACGATCGCAATGAACCCAAATGCGCTCAGGGGAGGGAGGATGCAGACCAACAACAAATTAATGGCCAAATGCGTAAGGTAAGATTGTTTCAGCCCAATCAACCTTCTTCCTCTACCTTCCTAGGAATGAAGAAGGGGACGTGCGAAGAATTTGCAGACAGAGTTCTAAGAACGAGGGAGGAGGGAGTTACAGCACACGAGCAGAATGGCAATCCAACAAGGGGAATAGAGAGTGCTTCAAGGGAAATAGATAGCTTGAGATCATAGAGATACATAAATATATTCCTTTCCGCAATTGTTCTTTTGAGTTCACTCCTCTCTGATCACTTTTTTAATGCAATTTTACCTTATTAAAAAAAATAATAAATAAAAAGATAAAATAAACCTAATTAAACATGAAGAGTTTTTATTTTCTTTTCAAAAACATGAGTACCAATGGTTCCGCAATGGGAATCTTCGGATGGGAAAGCAAAGATTTCATAGTGAATAGAAACATATTCATCACTAAACATGATAGCAAAATCATTATTTTTCAATCCCTTACATAATCTTATCTCAGAGAAATGTGTGAAACAAAAAGAAATTATGTTAAATGTCTCAGAAGAAAGAACAAAAACCAAAATATAATAGTAAGAAATTTATTTCCAATACTATTACAGTCTACAGACAATATAAATAAATTAATTTCTATATGTTTCCTAACACGTTTAATTTCACAGAAATTAAGTCAATAATCTACAATAAAGATAAATGCAAAAAAAAAAAAAAAAAAAAAAAAAGTCAAAGTGGATACCTCTTTGCATGATGGCGGGGCACGCTTCCCCTTTATGGTTCGGGATCTCCTAAAATATCCAACCTGCACTTCTTACCCAGATTAGTGACCAAATTTTTTAGAAATGAAACTAAATTGAAGAATGTTATCTTGTATTTTCACCTTAGGAGACTGAAGTATCACCAAGCCTTCATCTGTAGATTCATCAAGAAATGTTTGAATGCCACCTAAAGAATGACCATGTTTGGTGATGGCTAACGAAGGCGTAGAGACTGACCCGTTTAGTTCAGGTGTCTGAACAGTTGTATTAACATTGACGGGAGGAGAAACTGGAGGTGGTGAAGGTATATTTTTCGTAGTTAAGTCCCTTGTCACATACAGCCGAAATCCACCAAGCTGACAATGAGAGAGAAATGATTCAAAAAAACGAAAAGAAAAGTCAGGACTCCTTAATCTACTAAATCTGGTAACAAGAACACCAGTACTGAAGTTCTAATCAAGTTCCAAGAAGAATTTGACTCCAACGAAAAGTGAAAAAGAATTTTGAGACTTCTCACCTTCAATTCAAACTCCGCAATTGAAGTATCACATATTTGTGTGAGAAGAGATTCAACCTGCAAACAAGATCTGAGTGAGATAATTTTTCTAAACTTTCATATAATGCATATCAGTGTATGCAAGGGCTACAAATGAACTCGGCTCGTCTGCAGGTTCATTCAAGCTCATTCTTTTTGTAAATGAACCAAGCTAGACCCTAACATTGAAGCTCATTTACTAAACGATCCGAGCCTGAGCAATACCGAGCACGGATCATTTAGGCATGGCTTATCAAACATGTCTGCAATTTTTTTTAAATCAAACATGCCTTAAGGTTGTGTCCACTCAAACATGGCTTTATCATTTCATCCAGCCAAACATGCCCTTTGCATATAATGTTTTGTCTAAACATCCTAATTCTTTTCCTCATCCAAATGGGCTAGATTTTTCAAACAAAATATCTCTTATAATAGACAACGCATCTAAGAAGCACGGACACGGATATGACATGACACGGACACGGCAAATCCAAAAAAAATTAGGACAGGGACACGGCAAATAGTATATATATATTACATATATATATGATGTAGTACTTTAAAAATTATCGAGTGTTACTATTTTTCATCAACCTCATAATGAAAAAAATACACAAATCATAACTCATCTACTGTAATAGAGTAATGACTAGCCCTTAAATATCTATTTGTTTTGTCTAAAATTGCATATTAACCTTACAAGTTTAAAATTATTACGTACTGACCACATAAGTGAGTAAAAGTTGTTAAATAACTTCACAAATTTATACTTTAACCCAATTTTCTTTCAAAATTTATATTTTAGACCCCCGAAAATAAGACACCAGTGTCGGACACACACCCCTGGCGTGTCGGACGCGTGTCCGCGGAGTGTCCGTGCCGTGTTAGAAAATTAAAAAAAATTAAAAATTCCAGACACATTTTTTGGTGTGTCAGACAAGTGTCGGGGCGTGTCTGACGCATGTCGGTGTCCGACACGTGTCAGACATGGATTCTTCGCCAATTTTGGCGTGTCTGTGCTTCCTAGACGCATCCCCTCTCTCTCTCTCTCTCTCTATCTCCCTGCCATCATCACGACTACTCCCTCACTTCCATCGAGCATGTCAGACGACATTCTACCAAAATTTAGTTCACAATAAACCACTAATTTGTAAACGCTATTTGCAATCAGAGCCCGAGCTTGGCTGAATAATGCCAAACTGAGCTCTATCTTGGCTAGGGCATGCTTGCACAAGTTCCGAGCTTGGCAAGTTAAGCACGAACATCTCAAAGCTTGGCGTGGCTCGGCTCAATTCATTTGCACCCCTAGTTATGCATCCATGTCAAAACATGCATGCAACAACATTTAATCCTAGTTGTGAACAAACTTTTGGCAGCCTCTCCGGTACAAAACATAAAGAAGTACTAATCTCAGATCATTACAACTTTGGACATAGGGATACATTTCAACATCGAGAGAAAGAGGGCAGATATTGTGAACGATTAACACATTCAAGAATAATGATGAAATTCCAGTAAAGTTTCGGGAACAAGGTACAACAATTTATCAAGAATGAATATGAGTAAAATCCAATTTTGTATTTGATTTAATGTTTAGTACAAAATTCAGAGCAAGAAAGGGCGAACACTACGTACAGAGGAGATATACATTTATGTCACATAAAGCACCTCATGTGATGAAGAAATGGACGTTACTTATACAAAAATATAAAAAATGAAGTAATGATTGAGGAAATGGGTGCTTGTTACTACAATCTTCTACTTGTAGTAATTATTGAATTATTTTCATTTTCCTTTTTTGTTCTCAAGAAGTTAAAGGGCTTTATTTCCTCAAATTAGAAACTTTAAGAAGTCAAATTTAGTCCCTCTATGTTACGGTATAGGTTAGGATAAATTTTAGAATGATTTGACTACTATATTAGTTTTTAGAACTGAGATCCCTATAATTGCATTGAATTGCATGTCTTATATATAAAATTAGATAATCAGGTACAGGCATTATGCGTAAGATAAATAAAATGGTTGATTTAGAACCAAGATTTCAAACATGAAACTGAAAACAAAGAACTAATAACAATGGTTGATCTTGTATAAAATTTCAAATACGATGTTAAAGGAAATAATCACTCTCCACCCTACCCCACTTTGTTCTTCCTAAGTCTTCTTGCATAGAAGAGCACAAATGTTGCAAAAAGCAGGATTTCAGTAGTAGGCAGCATCCCCTCTTAGTTTTAAGTAGGTGGAACCATTCTGTTTTGGTTCTTCTCCACATTATTACCAGTTGATCCAAGTATTTTGCCTATGATTTTTTCAACCGATATATCAATAGGGAAAGATCTCCTTATTCGTCACCGCAGGTTCTCACATTTTTCCTTGAAAAGATATTATATCACTGTGGCAGACATTAAAGTGGCTAATGCTTACTATTCCCTTATTCAGACAATCCCTTCAATGGATTATCGGCTGTGTTGCTCGAGAAATAGTTTTATGAAATGGAGTCAAAAAGGAATAAGGCCTGATCTTCTTTCTGGATTTAGCGGCAAAGGGATATGTGAAGTTCTTTCTCTTCCTCTGTGCATGTCTGTGATGGGTAAATCCTCATGTGGTGTAAATATGTTGCGCAACTACTTTAAATCGAAAAATACTTACTTTTTAAGGCAACTATTACAAAAAAGGGGATCAGGCAGTAACATTATGTAAACATAGCCAGAAGCTCACCACCGCCGAGTTCGGAATCAGCTGGCTTGTAGTATCTGATGATTTCACTTCTTCAGAATCATTTTCTAAATTTGTAGCATCTGTTTTGTCATAAAAAATAAATTAAAAAAAAAAAAAACGACGAGTAAATAAGCTGGACAGAGCAATCAAAGGAATATATATAAGATAACTTCTTTGAGAAACAACACATCATGGAGCTTTTTCACAAAATAATTATATCAGAAAAGGGAAATAGAGGAAAGCGATTCAGGAAATATATATATATATATATAGAGAGAGAGAGAGAGAGAGAGGAAAGTGAATACTTATAAATAAAAAATAGAGGAAAATGAACCAATCAATGTCATTTTCAAACACACAAGATTGTGAATTGTGGAGTAAAAATAATTCCAACAGCACGACAAGTTTGGCTGCCCAGAGTTGCATTGTCATCTATCAATTTTGATTTGTGTTTGCTGAAATGGACTAGGTGATGTGGTATTCAAACAGACATCCTGCAGAACTTCTCACAATTTCCTAGGATCAAATGGAAGTGAACAATTACAATTTTGGTCGCATAAAGGCCAAAATTAGTCAGAGCACAAATTTTCTATAGGACCTATCTTTTCATATTTGTTGAGCTTCAAGTAGCAGTCTAATTATTAACAACCAATAAGTAAAGTTCCATGCCTCACCCTAAGGAATCCAATCTGCAATGTTTTAAGAGCAATCTTCTGTAGCAACTTGCCTGAAGGTCACCAATGGACATTAGCCTAGATTGTATGATCTCTCTTCGCCAAAGGGGAAGTTGAGTGTTCGGGCCTTGCTAGGGGTAATATTGTGGGCGTGTATGTGTTTGCTTGAACTTTAAAATAAAATAAAAACTCTTGCTAATAACAAACTTATAGTAGAAATCTTTTTAAACCAAATCAATTCATGAGTAGCTTTTTTTTTTTTTTTTGTGGGGGGGGTTGTGGGGTGTGGGGAGCTACCTTCTAGAGTACAAAAGTGACTTTTACCATAATAATTGATATTCTAGGTTAGATTTTCAATCATTGATTCTTTAGAGTACAAAGGTGACTTTAACACCTGTACAAATAATCCATGGATGTCAAAATTCACATGCAAGAGACAAGAGTAAATAATAATAACATTTTGTTTGAAATTTTATATACAACATACAGAAGCTTAAAATAATCACAGCTTCTGTAGGCAGTGAACTTCGTGTAACTTCATGCAATCCTGATTCTGTCTCATGAAGATTTTGTGGATCACTAGTCAACTAGAACAGTTCCATCTTAAACCGATACATTTCCACAACTAGTTAGCAAGCTATTTTGACTTCTAAATTTCTAATATATGGATTGAAATTCAAATGAACACAAATAAATTCACCAAGCGAATAATTTTTAACATATCCAATTAGTATACAATTCAAATACCATTCCTAAATTCTGGCATAAAATAACTAAATAGCCTTATAGGCTGTATGTAAGTACCTTAAAGAAACATATGTATTAGCATATGGTCTTGATCAATCTTCTTAATGTTTCGGCGTAAGACATTAATTTTACCCAATGTGTAGACATAAATACTGACATTAATTTTACCCAATGTGTAGACATAAATACTCATTTTCATTCAACCCAGTTATAGTTATTCAATGATCCAGAAAGATTTTAACTTTGGTAGCAGATATAAGTATATAACCATTGGGTGGGTCATGACCATAAAAACAGAATTGTGACAGTACATATGAAAGCACTTACTTTGGGATTTGCAAGACAAAGAATGACATCCATTTGATGCCTTCTTCAACCTCTTAGAAATCACCAAACCATTATATCGAATCGGAACTCGAGTCCCCAGAACATGCAACTGCTGTAGTGTACCCAATTTGGTACTCACAGATCCCAAGTTGGAAACTTTAAGAGTTGAAACTCCAAAACCACCTGATGTAAGAAGTAAGAACCCAGAACACAATGACTACGTTGAATCAACTAAATATAATCTACAATTACAAACCCATGTATTTGTGTGTGTATAGATGCACAATGTACATTTTGCAAATAACTCTTGTAATTGGTTAAAATTCAAAAGAACGAAGAATCATAGTAACAAGAAACAGAGAAGAAAAACCCTAATTCACCATTCAAGTTACAAAAATTTCCAAATAGCTGCTCAAAGAAACAAATTAAGAAGATGAATCAAATAATTGATAGTTATATTTAAGCATACAGATACATATATATACATATATAGAGGGAGAGAAGGAGAGAGAAAGAGTACTCACGTGCAGCCATAGAAATGTCTGAACCTTTGAGGAGCTTTCGTACAAGTTGTGTAGTCTGACGCCTCTCAGGTTACAGATGATAAAAACAAGAAAGCAAGACACAGAACGACGAGTACAGCTGGAAAACAGAGTTATCGGGCCGACTATGGTTTTCAAGACTAATTGTTTTTATGGGGACTATCTTTGGGCTTTGGCCTTTTCATAGCCCAAATGAAGGCCCAATCAATGAGCTATTTTGGGTTACCGACCATTAGTAAATTTTTCGGTTTTTTACCCATATCTGTGGATACCCAAGTAGTACGAGTACTTTGTTTTTTTCCCACCTGTATAGACTCCATGAAAAAAAAAAAAAATCTACATATGAGCCGCCAAGCAAAGTGAAAAATCATTACTGTTCGAAGCACTAAATTAGCGTCTTAAATTTTAAATTAAAAAAATTTGGTTCAAAATTAAAATTAAATTTTCTTCCATTCGAAATTGAAGGCAACAATTGAAGGATGCTCACAAACATACCATCAAGCTCATTGAAATTTCCTGTTTTCCAACACTCAACACAGCATCGTTTGGCGTCATAATTAATATTCATCTTATCATTTAAGTCACATAAATAAGACTCAAAAACAGTTTTAGAAAATTCATGTAACAACACAAACAATCAATGTGCTTAATTGTTCTGCTTAATTCCTATCTGTTGTTCACTCCACATACAAGAAACCTCTCTATCGTCTTTATATAAAGTTAGCTCTCTCACATCACCAATTACACAAAACACTTTCAAAACCTCAACTATGGATTTTTCTCTACCTGAATCCTCCTTCAGTTACAAAAGCTGTCCCGAGCCCCAAAAAATCCAACAAAAATTCAAAGAAATCATCTCAACATGTCCAAGAAATAGTGAATGGACAGCCTTTACTGATCTTTTCCAGTATCAAGGCTATTGGTACACTCCTAGGTTCCTAGAAGGGATCGTATTAGCTCAACAACAATTCCAGGCTCAGCCACATGATATCATCTTATGCAGCCACCCGAAAACTGGCACGACATGGCTCAAGGCTTTAGGTTTTGCCATCATGAACCGAGCCTGTTTGGATGATTCAAGATCAAATCCTTTGTCTGTCACCACACCACATGAATGTGTTCCTTACTTGGAGGTGGATCTTTACCAAAACAAACCTAACCGATATCCGGAACTCCCTCTCCTAGCTACACACCTGCCATACACTTCCCTTCCTGAATCCATAATAGCATCTAACTGCAAACTTGTTTACATATGCCGAGACCCGAAAGATGTGTTCGTTTCTTTATGGCACTTCTTAGCCAATGTGAAATCCAAGGAGAATGGACACTTCCCTCTAGAAAAGGCATTTGAGTTGTTTTGCCAAGGGACATCCAAAAATGGCCCTTATTGGGACCATGTTTTAGGGTATTGGAAGGCAAGCTTAAAATGGCCTGAGAGAGTACTGTTCTTGAAATATGAGGAGTTAAAGAAGGACCCTCATTTTCATGTCAAAAGATTGGCTAGGTTCATGGGCTGCCCTTTCTCTTTAGATGAGGAGAGGGAGGGTGTGGTGCAGAAGACAATAGAATTGTGTAGTTTTCAAAATCTGAAGGAATTGGAGGTGAATAAGACCGGAAAATACTCGATTTTTTCTTCTGTGCAGGTTGACAACAAGAAGTATTTCCGGAAGGGTGAGGTTGGAGATTGGAAGAATTGTCTTACAGAAGAGATGAAAGAGCGTTTGGATGAGATCGCAGCACACAAGTTAGAGGGTTCTGGTTTCACATTTGATTTCCAATAAAGCATTGTTTGGCTTGCAGGTCATCTTAAGATTTTTGCATGCTCAATAAAGGAGTGCATTTATCATCTCCCTAAACACTAGAATTGGCCCATTGATCACTTTTTTGTTTTTCTTTTTTTGTTTTTTTTTTTTAACCTCCCATTGATAAATCAAAAAGTGATTATCATTTCCTTTTGTCAAATGATCATTAATAATGAGTGTGAATTGGTCCCTGCTGTTGCAAGTAATAATTTTATTGGATTTTATGATTATTATACTCTGAAAATGACTCCTGCTTTGCCCTGAAATTGTGATAAATACGAGTCTAACAGTAAAAGGATCATGGAAAAAGGATGTAATAGTCATAAATAGAACAAATTTATCTCTCGCAAATTTGCAATGCACGTGATCCTTCCCCATAAAATTTGATAAACATTGCGTTTAGCATGAAATGTGTGTGTGAAAAAATGCATGTATGGTCAAACGGGCATCAAAGAAAATGAATAAAAATAAAAGTCTTGATAGGGAGTCCGACTGTTGGACTCTAAATGATTTTTTTTGAATGAAAGCTCCACAAATCTAATAATCAAATAACAACAATAACACTTTTCAATTCCTCATACACAAAAAAAATAAATAAATAAAGAAATAAAAATAACAACTGCCCGTAACAAGCAAGTCACAATGACACGGGAAGGCCAGCCCAAAAAGATAGATGGCACAATTAAGCAAATAAAAGTTGTTCAAATCCTAGTAGTTGGGTTGTTTGGGCAGTCAGAATTGAGGGTTGGGTTGGTTGGGCGATTAGTGTTGGTGGTGTCTGTGTTTACTCCCAGAGTGTTCTTCACTGCATGAGATGCCCCTTGTGCAATGTTTGCAGCTCCTGCTGCTGCACCTTGTGCCACATTTGTCGCTCCCTGTACCGCTCCTTGTGCTATTGTTGCAGCTCCTTGTGCCATGTTCTTAACTTGTTCCCCAGTCTGCAACACATGTATAGAATGAATCATCTTGTGTAGGCCCAACATTTTAACCAAAATACTCTCCCGCAGATGGGATTACTTTGACCGAGCATTTTGATTGAAATGCAACAAAGGGCGTGGCTAAAGTCATTTCATTCGTGAAATGCAATAAAGTGGGGATTCTTTTGCATCCATAAGGAAAGACTTTGACCAAGCATTTTGATTGAAATGCTCGGCTAAAGTCCGTGAGATGCAACAGACACAATATAGTGGGGACTTGTTGCATCTCACATGTGGATGACTTTAATGGAGCATTTTGATTGAAATGTTTGGCTAAAGTTTGTGAGATGCAACAAAGTACGTGACCGAAGTCATTTCACCGGTGAGATGGAAGATGTAATATAGTGGGGGAGTCTGTTGCATGCCACAAATGGGATGACTTTGACCGGACATTTTGATTGAAATGCTCGGCTAAAGAATCATTTCCCTATGTACAATAATTGGAATAGAGTTACCTGTTGAAGAAAGTTAGTGTCCTGCCCAGAGTTTTGGGTGTTGGAAGCTTGGTTCGCTACTTGATCCCTGTTCGCCTGTATATACATAGAAAGAGTGTGTGTGTGTGTATATATATGTGTGTGTTATTACATTGATTACAAGAAATTTACATCACTTTAATTTCAAAATTACCTGAGCTTGACCAGTCATTTGGCCAGCATTGTAGCTGATATTCTGAGCTTGCCTTTCCATTTTCTTGCGTTGCTTCTCTTGTAAAATCAAATGTAAACCTTAATCAAATGTAAGAGATCAAGAATGAAATTTATAACTTCTTAATGCTCACATTCATATCGCTATGAGCACCCTAATTCATGCATCTGCTAACACATGGCATGTCATTTATGGTTAGTCATATCTCAAAAGAGTTGCCTAGTCAAAAGGAAGAGAGAGAGGAGGGGTGCAAAAATTCAATCCAAATCCATCTAAATTTACTTGTTGAATATTTTCTTCAATTACAATATCCTGAATATTTAAACTCATCAATTTTGAGGGAATGTACACGGAATTTTGTAATTTTTAGGATTAATTAATAAAATAAGGAATAATCTTTTTCCTAAATTCCACTAATAGTGTAAAAACTAGTATGAGTTTAATGTTAGAATTTTTTCTTAGAATAACACTATTGTCCATTTCAATTTGGATAGAATTATAATTATTTCTCCTTTGAATATGTGATCAAAACTTTGATCTTATTATATGCATTAAAAGTAAGTAAAAAAAATACTCACCTAAACTATTAGGTCTGAAATTCGAAATAGCATTGTTGATTCAAATATCCATCCAAATTTGAATTTCTATAATAGCACATTTGAACAAGGATAAATGCCAATTGGATTGAAGTCTCGCAAGCTTATTCTCTTAATTGAATGAAGTCATAAGCAAACTATCTTTCCTCTTCGATTGGTTTGGACAATAAGAGACAAAATCTGATCCAAAATATTGGACCCAAATCATCAAACTCTTTTTCTTTCTATGAGGAAATAAAGACGTTGAGTATGATTCGGGTTTTCTCTTTAAAATATTAAAGTTTGAGTTCCAATAAGGTTTGAAGACTCCTATACTTACTCTCTAATGAGTTTGATTGGGTTTTTTATCTGTCAACCAGTGAAAAAAAAATAAATGATTGTAAATGATTTTCATGTTTGTTGGATAATAAGGAAGTGCGAAAGAAAAAAAAATGGTATTTAGAGAATTTAGGAAAAGAAAGAAAATGAAAGGGAATTTTTCTGATGTGGCCCTTGTGCCACGTCATATTTTAGTAGTCCTCTTTTGTCAATTAGCTCACTTGTGCCATGAGAGTCCATTGGGCCGAAACTTAAGTTTATTTGATCTTAGCTAAAAAGTCTCCTAAGTTTATTTGTGGGAACATTGCTCTTAATTGCATCTTGCAAACCGGTGAACTCGTAAAAGCTCAAAGATATTGCAACCAACCATCTGGAAAAATCAAAATAAGCTATCATTATCGAATACGTGTAGTGAAATTCTTTTCCTTTATTTTATTTTTTTCTCATTTGGGGTGCTGTATTTTACCGGAATCAAGGTGTGGTCAAGTTTTTGCAAAGTTCAACATGATGATATGCTTCAAGTACTGTTCAAATCAGCTTTCTTTTGATGGTAGAATCACAAATATCAGAATGTTGAGTTGTATGCGTTTTCAGCAGATGTATGTTTGTGTCCTCAGACGCGCCAGAATCCACGTCGACTCTGGATTAAAAGGCCAAACATTCATCATCATTGTCACACTGTGTCCCTAACTAAGCTGTTTTGGCCTTGTAGTGTGACTGATCAGTTGAGTTTTAGGAAGGCTGAGGGAGGGTTATCGGCGGGTTGTCATTGCCTTAAGAGGATAATCTAACATACCACTTCAAATAGCAGTAATGGTATACTTCCCACATTGCTTTCAACTTAATATTGATTGAATCCAGCAGTCTCTGTTAATCATGATATTATGAAGTTTTGGCATCCTGAATGCTTCCTATTTTATGTTTGCTGGTTAGAAGATTTTGTCACCCAACTACATCCAAAGGCATACTAAACTAGGTTCATCTGCTTTTAGTTTCTGACAAGCCATTGCAAATCCTGATCTGAGAGATCATATACCCTGAGATTAAAATGACATCTGCACACTCGCGCACGCACACATACACACACACACACGGATACAGAACAGAAGGCCATGGGCATTGCCTCTAAATTGATCATCACATAAAATGAATACCAAAATGCTCATAACTTAATTAGTAGATTTGACCAAAACAAATACCACCTAGGTGCCTACAGTACTGGCCAAGATAAAGAGAGACATAGCCGAAACTTTATTTTAGGGCAGACAAGAAGACAAAACGAATATTAGGAAGTCTAATTCATCTATACCATATTCCCCAACAAAACCAAATCCACTTACTACCCACATCTACATGTATACCGTTATTTGTTTCCATTTTCACCCTTGCTAGCTCCAAATAGGAAAATTAAGAGCGACCCTCAAGCCCCAGCCTTGCACTTAGCCAATTGCAGACCTCGTTCATCTCTTTAGGGACTGTGTAATGACCAAGCCTGCACAATCAAACCGAACATTTATGAAAAATGCTCTCTGAAGTTTGGTCATTGTAAGTGTACAAGTTTTTAAATTCTCGTCAATGAAGAAAACAATTCACATACCCATCATAGGTTTTGAATGTAAGGTATCGAAATCCAGCTAAGCTCAAGAAGTGGGCGGATTTATCTCCATATTTAGAAGGGACCACCTCATCACCTGTGAATAGCAAGGAAACAATTCTTGTACTCAATTAACAAACTTATGTATGCTGAATACAAACGAAGTGCAATGGCCTTATTCTAATTTAAGAGACCATCTAAGCATGGAAAAACACTGATTGTACAACGGAAACATGTGTAGCACAGCATGATCTTATTCCTATGGCTGTTCACCAGTCTGAAACACTAGGTCTATCACGTAGGTATTTTAATGACAACTATGCAGCCATGGGCAGAGTGATGTGAGAAACGGACTCATGTAACTGTATTAATTAGTTGAGATAAGGAAATGAAAGTTATAATAATAGAATCAGTGTCATCTACATTCCGATAGCAGTTTGTTTTGAATGGTAGATTTGGTTTCCTGGTTCTATGTTCTGTAGACTATTGAGATAATCTTCTAGAGTGAACAAACTAGGTTCCTAAACAGAGGTACAGAAGGATCTTCAAGAATACTTTTTAGTCTGCAGGGGTTCTTATGCTAGAGATTGATGCCATATTACTTGAGAGTTGTCCAACACGATAGTAAAGAACCTTTTATGCATATGCAAACCATCAGCATCTAAAAGGTCAAATACATACTAGTTCCATGACACAGCAAAATGGGTAAGGACGCAGCACGCCTTGCAGCCTCATGTGATGCTTCTATCTTGTTCCTCAAGCTCCTGCATAATACTAGCCGTTATTTGATAAACATGGGAATATTTGAATGTGAATACTTGATCTAATAAACACCTTGTTTGTTGCATGACCCACCAATTATGAATCCTACACAAATAACATGGTACAGAACCTACATTCTTATGACATACTTCTGACCATTTAAGAACAAAGAATATAAGGTTGAAAAAAATTTGAAAATTTGCTAGAGGTAGCCATCAATTCAGGTATTTCAAAATCATTTTGCATAAACAATCTCCTCAGTAGAATCCATACTTTGAGGCAAAGGGTTAATACAAGTCATTCCCACTACATAGACAACATTATGCATATAAGGAGGAGAAAGAGGATGCACGTTAGTTTGTGTGGATTGAGAACCATACCTTGAACCAGGAAGCCAGCCACTTAGACCAACAACGGCCCTTAAGTTGACAGGGTAAGGGTTGCCATTTCCATATTTTCCCTGGGCAAAACAAGTTGCAGAGTAGAGGGCAGTTGCAGCACCCATACTGAAGCCTCCAATACCAAGTTTAACTGTAAAAAGGTAAAGGAGAACTTTATTGAGAGATGGCTTTGTCATCCACTTATAATGGCCTAAACTACAGTAGGATGTAATCGCTATGCAACAGGATAGCATACAAGTATCACATGCTAAACTGTTACTTGTATATAAGGAAACCATGTAAGGAACCTAACCCATTAAACTGCATGCTAGTCTTAGGCAACAGTATCAAGATCTGAAAATGAATTTAAGCTGAACTACATTCGCCTAAGAAAGGCGAATTAATGTATTGTTGATGAAAAATAAAAACTGCAGGAGCAGGGATGCATGTTTTGGATTCACCTTTTAGTGAAAGTACAGTTGCCGTGGTAGTGGAATTTTCAATATAAGTTTACGAATCTTTTAATATAGTAAGGAAAATATGGTAAGGAAACAAAAACAAGCTCATGGAAGGTATTGGTTATGCAAGTAACCAGTTTTCAGGATACTAATGAGGAAAAAAACCTACCATCACTGGGCTCCGTGGACAACAAGTTTGCAATATGTGCTACTGAAGCATCCAAACCCTCAAAATCATCTGGACCATCTTCAGAAAGCTCTCCTACATCAAACCCTATGATTCATGCACCAGAAAAGCAATTTAGATGATTTCTATCAGTATAACAGCTAGCATCGAAAGAAATCTGGTTTTTATCTTACATGCAGTGCAAGGAAATCCACCAAGTAGAGTCACTGGACGAGTAGGAGCAGTTGGGCATATCCATTTAATCTGCATAATTGAATTTCGACAAAAACAAATAAGTGCTGAAGAGCCTAGAAAGATCCAAATGGTGAAATAGAAATTATATTCCAACTGCAGATGCATAAATGAAAAAACAGTATGCACATGCCTATGAGTGTATAAGCTCAAAAAAAAAAAATCAAGGGGAACATATCCTTACGTTTGGAAGAGGAAGGCTTTCTAAGAGCTGGGATGAGCTGCAATAAGAAACAAGCACCAAGTGAGGAGGCATGCCTTTGTATATAAAAACACTTTAAATTGTCCATGAGGTTAAATAACAGATACTCTTATCTGCAGAACATTAGAATCCTACAGCAGATGCATATAACTGTCTCCTAAAATTTCAGAATCCATAAATATACACTTCATTATGCTACCCAATTAATTTTGGAACCACAACAGTTGGTGAGAACACAGTGTGAAGGACCAAATTGTAAAGATGCTAATATAATAGTCCACAAAGTGTCCAAAGTTACAAGAATAGAGCCAAAATTTCCTTAAGTAGGGGATTTGTCAGCTTGCCACACTGGGATTTAGAAATGAATTATACAAAATATGTATATACTTGAATGCATTAAAATATACTTTAAAAAGACAGGCTCTCTTTGCTAAATTGGCAAGAGAACCTAGTTCGTGAAATAGTGGTCCCAAATCAAGCATCTGGAATATATTCTTTTTCCAATTCAAGGTTTCCTAAATTAAACTCAGCATTGAATGAGACAAGGGAATGGTGATGATGATGATGATAAAGTTTATTTAATTTCACGGCGCCACTTCTTTCTCCCATCAACTCAATCAAAGTGAGAATCTCAGCAAAAAAGACAACACAACTCAGCATCAAAAATATTTAACATCAGACAAACCTCTAGATAGAACAGGGAAAGACATTGACATTCTTTGATTCCATTCCCTATCTTTTGCTTTTTATCTTTTTTTTTTTTGAAAAAAAAAAAAGACAGAAGAAAAAAACAAGAAGTCCACCCACTCATTACAAATAAATAGCTAACATGAAAAGAAAAAACTAAAACTACAAAAAACTGCTATCAGTAAATCAGAAATGGACAGTAAATGGAGGAAAAAAAGAACTAAGCCCATTAGTCCCAAGTCTCCCACTGTCATGTCAAGTGAGTTCAGAAAAAATTACAAGCAACAGGGTGGTAGTCTCATAGATGTTTAATCTTGAATAGTCAAGACTCAAAGATGAATTTAGGAATAAAATAAAAACTATAAGAACTGTTCCATGTAGCATGAAACTCAGGTTCTCAGTGCCTCAAGGTAAGAAGAGAAATTTGGAAATTTCAAATGAGGGTTTTAACATGGTAGCTAGGGTGGTGGAAAAGTGTTCCTTGAAAACTTTAGGGTATTATTACAGTAGACTAAAAAAGAAGATGAAGGAAAGAAACAAAAAGTAGAAAGAAACACAGGTTAATAATCACAATTATGCTGAGAAGAACAACCACTAAAGTCACTAAGATGTCCAAAAAGGATATTAATTAGCAAAGGAGAAAATAATAAATAAATAAATAATCTACCTCGAGCCGTTATCACCAAGGCCGTGCAGCCAAACTATTGTGGCCTGGTGTTTCCCCTTAGGCCTCACCACATATGTCCTCCCAAATTCAGGTGCTCTTCTAGCTGTTCTACTACCTACAATGAAGTCATATAGGTCAAAAACCATATAAAGTTTGAAGAAAAGAAACTTAACTACACATATCATTCATTTATAATTAATTGTTGCCAATCTTTCCATACCATTCCAAAGATTCCCAAAACTAATCCCAATTTACATTCAATTGCAAAGACAAATTGGGCAAATAGAGATTGAAAGACGGAAATTATAACTCACCAGAACCCCCCATAGAAGGATTTGTATAGCTCATTTTCGCCGCCTGAGAAAGTCTATAGCACTTACTACACTGACTGAAAACTGGGATTGCAATGAGAAAAACCTAAATTGGTGGTCTATTTATACCCAATAAGTAGGTTGAAAATGGAATAATACATGTGAATATGCAACACTAAGTAGTATGTGTATACCAGCTGCACATTGTGCCGAAAACCGCCTAGAAACTCAAAAAGAGACATAGAGGGCATCCATGAAAAAGAGAGGTAATAAAGACAATGACAAAAGCAAGCAATCTTTCTATGAGCAGAGAGAATCAAACCAGCAAAAAACAGAGCACATTCATGTATTCCTGAGCCACCCAGCTTTGGAGGGCTCTAGATTTAATTGCAACACTGAATGAGAGAATCTATGCCTGTGGGCAGTGCCCAAAAATTAAAAAATAAAGAAACCCCAGCTACAACAGCTACTGAAGAATATTACTGAATTAAAGAAAGAATAATCCAATTTTGTGAAAGGATAATTATCTATCTTTCTTTCAATCATTTGTTTATGTATATATTTCTTGTGATTGATGGATACCCATTAACTTGAAATTGAAGTTCATGAACTGTCCAATTTATCATCATTGAGATTTGAAGTACAGCAAATATCTCATTAAAAAAAAGGTGGGGAATAATCAAGAAATGATGGGACCAGAAAAACTGGGGTTCAAAAATGGGATTTTGTTGTTTCTCATGCTACCTTGTTTTATATGTATGTGTGTGTGTATATATATATATATATGCATGAATTTGGGTTGCCAACCTGGAAATATTTTATCTTCCTTCTCCATCCCCTCTCTGTATCTCTCTTGGTTTCATGTTTGCCACTTATTATATGGTTGCTCTAGTCTTACCATAATTATACGTTTTGTTTTATTTGTACTTGTGCTCACGGGATGAGAGCCTCCAAAAAGCAGAGTAAGTCCAAAACTGGAGCTTATCAAGTTTGATTATTTCAGTAAGTGAATCTTGATTTTGTGAACTTTTATATTGCTGGAGGAGGATAATAAATAATCAAGTAGTATTATTTTAGAAATTAAAGTTTTTAGGAAATTTGTTCTCAATTTTTCCGCCCAATTTGTAAAATAGAGGATACGAAAGGTTCATCTTTTCGTGGTTAAAATTTATGTTAGGTTTATAGTCATTTTGGAAATCACCACTTTGTTCAAATAGTAAAAACAGTAATGTTGATTTCACTCCATTGCTCCAACAGTATCAATTGATAGAACCAATCATGCATGATGGTTTTCATAAATTTTGGTAGTTTGCCGTTGCTCTTTTTAACCCTAATTTAATGTTCATTAGATAAGTTCATTTGGTCACGGAAAAGATAATATTAATGTGACAATCATTAAAATAAACAACACCCAACGAGATAGTGATTAAAGTTGCACATAAATTTAATGATAATTATAACATTATTCTTTTATCGTAAAAGACTTTATTAGATAATATTTATTGAAATCGACAATTGTAGCATTACTCTTGTGTAAAACATTATAGAGTCATTTGAACAAAACAGGAAGAGCATAACTCCAAAACTGAAGTTCACTGTGTTAGTGTCATCAGCTCTCCTCTTCAAAATGGTGATAATGAAAGTGGAAGATCATGAAATGCAGGCCCACCAGTGATTGTTCTGAGATCAGCTGGGCCCAACCCATTATGGACCACTTTGTCCATTAATATGGGGCCTGGGCCCATTTCAAGTACAATTTGATTTCAATATAGTTTTTAAATAATCGACCTTTGAGAAACAAAAGATCTCCAATATTAAAAATGATAATGACTTGCGCAACTAATACGAGGGACGACGCGGGTTCCAAAAGAAGTCTTGGTAAATATTATAATGTAGAAGAAGATCATCTATAAATCTATTCCTCACCAAGTCAAAAATAAGTCATCATGGTCATTGTCTGCGTGCTCTGAAAAATAGAACATTTTTTAACTTGTGGTTTTAAATTTACCAATTATTAAATCAATTCTTGAATCTTTAAATGCATTATAATTTCATATTTTTTGAATGGTATACGAACTACATGTGAAATAAATTATATATAATAATAAAATAAAATGTATGTACGTAATTATTGAATAAAAACCACCAAAACATGTAAGCGTAAATGTTCTTGTTCGATAATTAAGCCGGTTATAGAAGGATCAAATCTTAAAGACCTTTTTAGAAAGCAAAAAATTTGGGACCATTGCCCTGTTTTTATGTAGTTATGCAGCTCCATTCACACCGGATAATAGGTAACTTTTCAATATATTATTTTAAAAATATTTTAAAATCTTATTATTAGTTTAACTAGTATAATCTAAGTCACACAATCCTTCTTAATATGTGTTTCTCTCACGTTTCAGTTCTTACGCTTCACGCGCGCTCACGCTCAAATTTACACTGTTTATGACTTAATTTTATCTTTTTCACGCTTTCGAAATCGTTCTCGTTCCTATTCTCGCTTTGCGTGACTTAGAACATAACATCTTAATTATTTGACCCTATAATAAATTGTGGTCTTGAGTGATTTACCAATCAACCAAAAATTAAAAAATAAAAACTTTATCTCCTTTGTCACTTGAGGATGAGTAGTTTTTAGGTAACTTTTTGTTTGTCAACTCCTCCTTTACCCCACACCGTAGAAGAAGAATCAATGCTACTCAGAAAATGGTTGATACTTTTCTCTGTGGGTTTGATTAATAGAAGACAACATGCACTGTCGGGCACTAACTTCTTATTGGAGATTCTAATATTTCAGTTTCGGTTCATTTTTTTATTTTGAGTGCTTCTGGTTATATATATATATATATATGAAATAATCGGATTAAAGATTAGAGTCCTTTTTAATTTTTAAATTTAGTAAGGTCAACCATTTACTTCTTTCTTCTTCTTTGGGTGTTTCAAAAGGTGGCTGATTCAATACTCTGGTACTAGAATAGTAAAATACTGTATTGAAAGGAAAGCTATAAAAAATTCAGTTCATTAATATATTATGTTTTGAATTACCGAATCTGCTTCTTAAATTTATATTTAAAACTTTTTTTTTTTTTTTAATTTTAATTGGAAGGTGATGATTCACATTTTCAAACACAACGAAAGATATTTACTCCGTATTAAATAAATAAATAAATAAAAAGTTTGAGGAATAAGGCGCATATGACATAATAATCAAATATGTAGATGTTAACTCTCGTGTGTATAAAACATATAACAGTAATCAAACAGGTCGTATTATGACTAAATGGAATTAGAAATGAAGAAAGTTGGTGGAATTGTGATTTCCTTTTGCATTTTAGGAGGACAAAAAAATGATTGGGATGCATGAAGCCTTATGTACGTAGTAGCATGTTCCTTCAGTTTTTCGCACAATAAGTAATCCATTCTTATAACCATATTCATACCTTTAAAAGGTTGTGTCAACGGATACCAAATGTTATAAAGTTGACTAATACATTAATCGGACTATAAATCATCTTAGAACGGAATTTTTTGGAATCAAAATTATTAAATAGTCTTGAACCAAGTATTTTTATCATCATTAATTCTGCCTTGATTTAAAAAAAAAAACCCTAGCTTATTCTTAATTAATTGCATGCTTTAGAAATACCATAGAGATTGTTGGGGCATTATTTATTCTTTTATTGACAATGAATCAATGATAGTGTCAAACATCTTAAAATGTCTCGGATTCTAACACGGGATACATGCAATTCTTCATCCCATATACATTGACAAAATTTTTAAATTAGTAGAATGGGAACCAAACTCCTGTGCTTTACAGTGACCACACTTGCAAGTCACACAGTAAAGTAAGTAGGTGGATAATTATTTGAGCCACCATGTTAAATTGGAGCCACGTGTACTTCTCAAAATTAGTAATAATACTTACTTTAGATGCGCACACAAACACACACACACACATAATCAAATAAATAGAATTTTGGTCCTGTTGGAATCATAAATAGTGACTTGTTCCTCTCATTTTCTTTGGTAATAATCATGATGAGATTGAAGCTGCAGAGGGAGTTTATTAAATGAAGGTTCTCATAAAAGATCATGGATTAGAGAGAATAATGGTGTCACTGGAAACTTTGTGGCATTGTTCTGATAAAAAGTTGTATATAGTAGTAATTAGTAGTCAATTCATATACCAAAAATCGAAAAGAAACGTTTCAATTTAGCACAGAATTTGAATGATTAGACTTTAACAACTCAGAGAAAAAGGTGATTCATTTGATATATATATATATATATATATATATATATATATATTTTTTCTTTCTGTATGCAATTGTCACTCTTCATTATTCCAATGGAGTAGAAGCAAATATTGTTCCTTTCTCATTATTGGTAAGATTGTGATGGGCGCTTTGAATCAATACTCCTTTTTATTCTCAATCACATTTTTCAACAAATAAATGAATTCCATTATAAGTAGCTTGATTTATAATCTTTCAATAGAAAATTAAAACTAATAAAAATTGAGAAGTGACGTAATAATAATATATATGTATTACATATTATTGATTTATAATCTTTCAATAGAAAACATGTCTCGCCGGAAACTATGAAGTCCATGGCCACGGATAGTGGTTGCAAATAAGGAAAAGGCAAAGTGGAGATGAAATAATAATAATAATAATAAAAATCAAATATAAAACAACATAAATAGACCTTAATTGACATGCTAAACAACAAAAAGCAGGGGCTTTTTGTTGTCCAAAAATATGGGGACAAGTCCACAAGATTTAGGGATATTTTAGTTTAGTATATAAAAACCAATTAGGATATATAATTTAATTTGTAAAATTACAAAATATTTAAGGATATTTTAGTTTTTTTATTTAATTACTTAGATTAAAGAGATCTTCTAACAAAATTAAAGGGTATTAACGAAATAAACGGTAATGTGAGTAATAATAATTTTCGAAAGTTATTTTAATATAATATTTGGTCAAACCTGAAGGGGTGTAAGTATAATTAATCCAAAAAGTAAAGATATGTCACAAAAGTAGATCCACTCAGTACACGGTAGTGTTTTGTTGGTGTGACCAGTTGGAGGCATTTGATTGGTACAATGATGTGGTGATATAAGGTTGGTCTGATGATGCAAAGATGGTGGGCGCCGAAATCAAGAGCAAGCAAACAGAGACGGTGCAATTCATGTATATATATATATATATACACTAGTAAAAGGTGTATATATATACACTAGTAAAAGGCACGTGTCGCACGTGTTGAATGTTTTGTAGATAATGTGATAGAGTTTTATAGAAAATAAAACAGCCAATTTGTAGTAGATTTTATAGAAATTATTTTATTTTCTTTAAATATATTCTTGTTTAATTATATTTTCTTTTATTAAAAAAACTCATAATAAATAAATAAATAGGTAATATATGTTAGAATTTTATACAAACTCTTTTAAAAACTCTTTTTATATCAATTAATAAATATTTTTTTATATTAATAGTTCTTGTCTAATTAGATTTCCTTTATTAAAAAACTCATAATAAAA